TGCCAAAATACAGATTGTCCGGCATGCTTTCGCCATGGCTTTTCATGCATGTGAAATTTCCCTCCCATCGCAGTCGCGATTGCTGAGCATGAGACGTTGTGTGGCCAACTTCATCCTGCCCCGCAAAGGTTCCGCCAACCCATGGCTGGCTTGTGCCCTAGGTGTGGGGTGTCACCTGGACCCACTTTACCACACGGCCATCCAAGTTTTTCGAATGTTGAGACATGTCTGTTTCCACGATCCGGAAACTTTTGCCCGTGTGTGGAATCATGCTATCTACCTCAAGCAGCCGCAATACGTCCGGTTGCGTGAAAATGCACAAGGGCCGGCCGCTACCCTCGCTCGTCTCACGGACCATCTCCAATGGACACTGTTGCCGAATGGAGCTGTGTGCTGGAAGGAGGGGTGTTCTTGGTCATGGCAGAATTGGAGGCATCCAGTGACACAGCAGGCGCACTGCGCGCATTGCTGGCCAACGCCCGAGTGCCGGACATGCTCGCCGAGCATATCCTGGGTCTCGGTTTTCAAGAAATCGCCGATTTTGCATTTGCATACTCAGGCATTTCAGACCTGAACACACTGCTCAATGAGGTGCCTGCAGAAATTTGGTCCGCATTGGAAGTGGCAGACCACGCGCGCTCCATTCCAGCCGCACGCATCAGGGAAAGCATTCGAAATCGCCGGGCCGCCTCATCGCAGAAGACGCATGCCCACATGCCCAAAGCGTTGAGCCAGCCATCAGGCCCGCTCGACGCAGAGACGCATGCATCACCATGGGCAGAACATTTGCCTCCTAAACTGACCCCAGAAGTGGTTCAGGACCTGGTAGACAAATTCCAGAAGAACTACCCAGGAGAGCTCCTGCAACCGGACAGCATGCCAAGCATCCGCCTGCTAGGCATGGTCTACGAAATGACCAAATCCAAACACTTTAAGCGGATACCATGGCAATTACGGCTAATACCAGGAAGCCGTAGAGGCGCGCTCCCACAAAGCCGCACGCACCGAGACGCAGCTTTTGGCACACGCTTTCTTCGATGATACCCCTGAAATCAGCGTGGAGGGTAAAACACTCACCGCCGGCTGGTTGCATCGTATTCAGCAAGTGTTTCGCCCTTTGCCAAGCAGTGCATCTGCTTAACGCCGAAGCACTGGACCAGCAAATCGCCAACATGTGCTTGCTTCAGCCAGATCCAGCCCTCTCGCTCCGCACAGTGACAACTTCGGAGCTTCTGCATGCTGATCGCCAAATCTGGGGCACCATCGTTGACCTACTGCAACGCAAATGGTCCATGGACGATGCATTCCATGAGCTCACACACGGCCGCATGGAAATACACTCCCTGCTCATGCTTCGCCCAAGAACAAGCAGACAGCCCCTAGCGGCTCCGCCTGCCAAGCGACAGACTAGCCAAGCACGATCCGGCAAACGCCCAGCTCCCAAGCCGCATAAGGCGGAACCACCCAGAAAAAAGGGTAAAGGGAAAGGCAAGGGGAAGACACGTAATAATTGGGCGACAACGCATCAAGGCAAGCCAATCTGCCGCAGATTCCAACAGGGCCTCTGCAAAACAGACAACTGTCAGTTCGCGCATGTATGCGCCGTAAAAGGCTGCCAGGAAACAGTCCGGAGGCCGCTCCGGCCGCTCCTCCGGACAGTGCAACCCCTCAGCCGGTAGCACTCGGCGCTACCCAAGACGCACCGCGGGCCCGCCTGCATCGCATGCTTTATCGCCCGCGAACGAGGCGCTCCAGGCCTCAGTGTCCGCACAAACACCCCGTCCTGCAGCCAGGAACAGGACAGGCAACTCCGACCCACCCAACATTGCACGCACAGCTGAGGAGCGCATACTGCCCACATCAAAGGAGGACTCCTCCTGGATGTCTTTGCAGGAATCCATGCACCCATTTCAGCAGCTGCCGACAAGCAAGGCCTCTCGCGTTTCGAGGCCTTTGACCTAGAGGCCAATTCGGAGCACGACATACTCGACGATGCATGCATTGAACTGCTTATGCGCATCTCGTGGTCAGGCATCGTCAGCCTGATCACACTGGCTCCGCCGTGCAAGGAGTACAGTCGACTGAAACTCCGCCCCGGAGGACCGAAAGCCTTGCGCACTCCAACCTGCATGCACGGCGTGCCGGGCTTGTCTCCCGAAGAAGCATCGCGCGTTGCACAAAGCAGGGAAATCCACAGGAGGAGCAGAGAACTCTTCAAAGCTGTTGCCACACAAGGAGGCGTGGCAGTCTTTGAGCAACCGCCCTCAAGCGTGGCATGGCTCGGGCCGGAAAACTTTCAGTGCCTCAAAGCATTCCACGGACACTTGGCATGGGTGGACGCATGCCAACACGGCATGTCTTTTGCTAAATCTTGGTGCTTCGCTTCAAACAACCCGTGCATCCAGCATGTAGCAGCGCGTTGCAATCACCCACAAAAGCACGCTAGCATTGCGGGCGTGCGCAGCTCCTCCGGTCAATTCCTCAGCACATTGACCGCAGAATATCCCGTGACTCTCGTCACGCATTGCGCATTCAAAGTTCGACGCGACCCGCTGGTACGCGAGCTTCAAAAACCCTGCATACGTAGCCTGCATCCCCACAGACTCAAAATCTGTGATGGAGCCGGCTTGCATTCCACCGCAGACCATTCAGTCCCCCAGCCCAGTCACCCGCTGGGAACGGTAGCGCACGCTTGGCTGCGGTGGGCAACAACACAAAATTTGATTCCCAAAATTCTCGCACACGTCAGCTCGGACACACCCGCGCCGCCCTTGTCGGCCCAGGAGTCCGAAGAGGCAGCGCTGATTGCTTTCGAGGCAGTAAACCTGCCCGCCCCAACCAGCCTGGCTCCCGACAGCGGCCAGCCGTACCGGCTGTCACTGCTGCATGCACTGGCCTCCGCATCGGATGACCCGGACATCAAACTCCTTCCATTGCTCTCCGAAGGTGTGCCCACAGGGGCCCTATCCGAATTGCCCCGTAGCATGCAATGGCCGCCCAAAAGAGCAGGCCGACCTGCCTCACGAGCTCACAGAATGCATGGGCAACTGGAAAGCCGCCGAAGCAGAGCCCCACACAGTCTCTGCGCTTCTTGGACAAAGAGATCTCCAATGGGTGGGTCGCCCGCACAGTCAATGTGGTGCATGCCGAAGGCAAGGAACCACGCCTGGTCCTAGACAGCACAGTGTGCGGGGTGAACCCCAAGTGCAATATCCCAGAACGCGTCAGTCTGCCAATGGTATCCGACGTGCGCCTCACACACCTGGCGCCTGGTCGAACACGCATTGTTGACCACGGGGGCATATGAGGAGGCTCCGCAGAGGGGTGCAGATACGGGGAAAGGACACGCGATGTCTTTCCCCCTGCGCCTCCGAGCCTCAACTTCCAAGCAACGCCTTATAAAGAAAAAGGGGCGTGCGCGCATGTTTGTCGGTCGCCCCCTTTTGTGTTGGACTGCATGTTCCCTTTCGGATTGAAGCAGTGATCAAGATTCTAACCTTAAGGGTTTGCAATTGCACGCCCTTACGGGCTTGCAATTGCACGCCCTTAAGGGTTTGCAATTGCACGCCCTTAAGGGTTTGCAATTGCAAATGCACTTGCACGCCCTTCAGGGTTTGCAATTGCACGCTCTTAAGGGTTTGCAATTTCAAACCCTTCCCAGGTGCAATAGACTCCGTTTGGGGAACTCTACTGCAGACGCTCTGCACCTCAAGCCCAGGCTTGGGCAGGCCTGCCCTCGCCTTGCCCAAGGTTGTGCCCGCAGTACTCCCTTGCCTCACACTGCAGCGTAGGCACGCTTGCCACGCTGTGTGCTTGCGCTGCAAAGCCAGGACACGCTTGTCTGGCGCTCTTTAAGTTTCACAGGGGGGACAATGCTTCCTCCTGCTCCAGGTGCACCGCGTGCCGGAAGCAGTGCTACTTTCAAGCAACCCGTGAGAAAAGAGTGCGCGCGTTTTGGTTCTTTGATGAGGGGTTGTTTGGGTTCAAACTAAAAAACACAAGCGCGGACACAAACACAAACAGGCTCTTCTGTGTTGTGGTGGTGTGTGCCGTTTGATGCTTTCAATTTGCTTCTGCTTGGACAAGTGAGAGCGGTGTAAGTTACTCTTTTTTGAGCACTTTAGGATCTTCTTTCAAATTCGTAAATTTGTAATGTTTTATTTTGTGTGCGGTTTCTGGCTCGCGCGACATGAGTGCGTCGCCTCGACAGTCAGTCTGCTCTTGAGGAAAGGGCCCCAACGTTTTGGCCCCACGATGGTGAATGTGATCCAGTCATCAATAATTAATTTCCTAAGGTCTGAGCCGGCTGACCCACTCCGCAGTCATCAATAGATTCGAAGTTTTGTTCCGTGCCGCTGATAGGACGGCCTGCGCTTGTGTGGCTTCCATGAAGCCTTCTCCGTCTGATGACATCTTAACTGCTTCTTTGTTTGAACTATGGCGCGAATCTGTTTGAAATGTGGAAAGGGTGGACGCTTAGTGATGTTGTTTTTGTCCCCAAACAGGCATGTTGTCCAGCGTGGGTTTTCCATGAAGAAACCGCCTGGTAGTTGGGCGCGACGTTGTGGGAAATGTGACCACGCAGGATGGCGACCGCATCCCGGTTCCAGCTTTGGCTCAAAGTTTGGCCTGTGCGGATTGAAAAATAAGAGGAACACTTGCCACAAAAGTGCCACAAAATCAAACCAACAATATATTTAGCCAAACTTTTTCCACCCTTGTGGAGTACTCGCACCAAGCAAACAACCGAAGAAGCCAGATTGTCAATAATCCGACTCGTGCCCCCCAAAAGGCAGCAAAGATCCTTGCATTTTTGGATGGTATGCGCACGACGTGTCGTGTGGAGGATATTTGTTTGGGCCCGTTTGTTTGTTACGAGAGCAATGTCGTCCATACAGACTACAGTGTGAGATGGGTGGACCAAACAAATAGACCTACGTTGATCAACAAGGGGTTCTTCAAAAAGGCAGTGCAACTCAATGCGATTACATGGGTTTACT